GAAAGAATAGGCACCCAATCTGATCCTGTCTTAAAAGCAATCCCTGATGGTGAGGTTCTTCCTTAATCGAACTCAAAATCAACCAATCTCTCTCTGTATCTGTCTCTGTCTCTCTGTCTGTCTGTCTCTGTCTGTCTGTCTCTGTCTGTCTCTCTGTCTCTGTCTGTCTCTCTGACTCTGTCTGTCTCTCTGACTCTGTCTGCCTGTCTGTCTCTCTCTGTCTGTCTTTCTGTCTGCCTGTCTCTCTCTCTCGTGTAGAGCTCTGGGACTGAGGCCCCTTCTCACACAGGGCAAACTTCCTCTGAGGGGAAGGCTGGTTTCTACTGAGAGGCCTTCTGAGTGATTCTGCCCAATCCCTTGGGAACACGGATGCTGGAGGACCCCAATATTTCACAATACATACCCAGTACCTGCTGGGGCCTGTTTTTTGGAGGAAGACCAGATGGTCACTTTGGTTCAACAACCCAGGTTACCATGTCAACAGTAAATTAAAAATAACAATATATTAAATGCCAAAGGAAATGAGGTTGGAAACTAACCTATAGTCTTTTCCCTGGACCCTCTCCCGTGGCAACAGTCTAGCAGAGCCTGCTTTCCGTGAGGTAAGATGGTTTTAATATTAAATCTCAATATAGTAAGAGGTCTATAAAGACCAAATGAAACAAGGGTAACAGCACTGTGTTTTAACTTCCCCTTCATGTTAGTATACAAAGCCCAGTAATGCTCGCTTTCCTCTCTCTCCTTTACAACTGTATTGCCAGGGTATGAGCAGAACCCCTAGGAAGACAAACACCAAACCAAAATGAAGAACTACATTTGACAGCATAAATCTCCTCACCTAGCTGGGTGCAGTAGCACATGCTTTTAATACCAGTACTCAGGAGGCAGAGGCAGGCAGTTCTCTGAGTTCAAAGCCATCCTGGTCTATAGAATTAAATTCCAGGGCAGCAAGGGCTACAGAAAAAAAAAAAAAAACAGGTTTTGAAAAACTGAAATAAAATAACAATAAAAAAACCGAATCCCCTCACCTAAATACACACAGGTAACATGTTATTAAAGCACTTTTTTTTTTTTTTTTGGTTTTTTCGAGACAGGGTTTCTCTGTATTGTTTTGGAGGCTGTCCTGGAACTAGCTCTGTAGACCAGGCTGGCCTCGAACTCACAGAGATCTGCCTGCCTCTGCCTCCCGAGTGCTGGGATTAAAGACGTGTGCCACCAACGCCCGGCTTATTAAAGCATTTTAAAAAAACAGACAAATACAGATTTTGAGGCAGGATAGAAAGAGAGGGAAACTATGGGACATGGGAAGGGAAACGAGTCCTCGCCCAGGAGTGAGGTTAAAATAAAGCCACACATCAACTGAGAGGCATGAACCTCCACCCCTAATAAACATTTCCTGTACAAGTTGCTCACAGAGTTAATATTCCTTTCATAGAGAGAGATTTTATAGCAAATGACAATATCCCAGGGTTAGGCCTGTATGCATAGAATCTTGCCTAGTGCCTGCATTCCTTCCCCAGCCATTTCGGGAAGGTTCCCAATAAAACCGTTTACAATGATGTCCCGCCTTCTGTACTCCTGTGAGCTAGACATTTACATTATCAGCTGTAATCCTACAGGTACCCCTCAGGAAACACCCAGTGACCTCACATTTCTAAGCAACCCTTCAAACCTCACCAAAATCCAATATATGACAGTTGTAAAAAACAAAACAAAGCAAAACCCATAGCATAACAAAACAAAAAGCCAGAGCTGAGCAGCTGGTACCTACAGCAGAGTATGCACCTCCATCTGTCCGTCTGCACTCTTCCAAGAAGCGCACCCACACTGCTCTCAGTGGTGTCTTCCCTTCTGAGCACCTCTCTTTCTCGCAATCCCTGTGCTTAAGTCTATACTGAATTATCTTTACTAGAGCTGGGGATATGGCTCAGTGATCTAGTGCATTAGGGTAAGAGTTGGATTCCCAGCAACCGTGTCAAAAGCCATGCAGGCACCGCAACTGCCTGTAATCCCAGAACCTGGGATCCTCAGGATAACTTGGCTAGGCAGAATCAATAGACTTCATAAAGAGACCCTGCACTCGGGATGCAGAGTGAGACAGATTTGTGAGTTCAAGGCCAGCCTGGTCTACACAGTAAATTCCAGATCAGCCAGCACTACATGGTGAGACCCTCTCTAAATGCTGCAAAACAAAACCAAGCCAACCCTGCTTCAGAAACTGGCTAGTCCTGAAATTCCTCCCTGTGTTGAAACCATGACTCATGAGATAAGGTCCTTAAAGGGCTAGGGGATCCCTCAGGCTGAGAATGATAGTGGAGAGTTGCTTCCTGTGCCTGTACCCTCAAACACAGACAATATCCAAGGCAGAGAACTGCCAAAGTTTGGGGTCTTTGGGGGGGGGGTCGAGGCAGGGTTTCACTGTTACTTTGGAGGCTGTCCTGGAACTAGCTCTTGTAGACCAGACTGGTCTATAAGCGAGTTTGTATCAGTAAACAAATGTAGGGGAGGGTAGTTAAATATGGCAAAGGACATTTTTTTTTTTTTTTTTGGTTTTTTGAGACAGGGTTTCTCTGTATTGTTTTGGAGGCTGTACTGGAACTCGATCTGTAGACCAGGCTGCCCTCAAACTCAGAGATCCACCTGCCTCTGCCTCCTGAGTACTGGGATTAAAAGCGTACGCCACCAACACCTGGCTCAAAGGACATTTTTGTGTATGGGCGGTGGTGCTGGGAACGGAAACCAGGATCCCGGACATGCCAAGCATGCATGTACCTCTAGCATCTAAAGGTCCTTTTAAAAGCCTTTACTTTGCAGTCAGTAATAAATAGGGTCATATGCTGGGATGTAGAATCAGAAAAGGAAGTGGTATGTATTAAACACCTACAGTATGCACAAAATCTAAGGTACTGTTTCAAAAATAATGGTTAACAAGAATCCAGCCTACCCCTCACAGGTGAAATCATAAGGAGAATGGCACACAACTGTTTGCCTCACTGTGTTTAGCTAATATCAGAAACGTTAGTAGGCCATCAATAAGTGCAACTGAATTAAACCATGTAATTCAATACCTCAGCTCATACCTGTTAAATGGGCTTCAATAAAAGCATGAGGCTCAATACATATTTTTGTGTTTTCATTTAAAAAAAATGAAATCCTTTAAAATTTATTTTTAAAAATTTCATGTATACATAACTGTATGTATGTGGGTGTGTATGCCACGTGTGTACCAGGGTGCCCAGGCAGGTCAGAAGAAAGCATCAGACCCCTGAGAGTTGGAGTTACAGACAGTAATGAGCCCGCTGAAGAGGGTGCTGGAATTCAAACGGGTTGTTTGCAAGAGCTGCATTCATTCTCAACAGACGAGCCACTTTACAGCCTATTTTATTTTTTAAAGACAGGGTCTCATATCCCAGGCTGGTCTCAAACCTGAGATAGAGCTGATGATGACTTTACACTTCTGACCATCCTGCCGCGACCGCCTCTCATGTGCTGGGATGTTTATGTGATGCTAAGGATAGCCCCAGGGCTTCAAGTGTGCCAGGCAAGCACTCTATCAACTGAGCTGTATCTCCAGACCTAAATACACACTTTTTGAAAAAACATGAGTCATTACTGGAAGGCCATCACCAAAAGCAAGTCACTATATTGTATTTGTGAAGGGTGTGACAGTGGTCCCCTTTATCTGTGGCTTCCCAGTTACTTGTGGTCAATGAGAGATAGCACAAAAGTATCTACATGCACACAGCACAGTATGATAACCTTAAGAAAATGAGAGCGACCCACATCCACAACTTGATAGTTTGTTCATTCCAGCTTTGTTCTTTGCAGTGCTAGAGATGTGACCAGGGCCTTGGGTGTGGGCAATGAAGTGCTTACCACTGAGCCACCCCACCCCCAGCACATAGCTTTTATTATACTATATTTCTATAATTGTCCTAATTTATCATTAATCTCTTAATGTATCTATATATAAGTTAAACCTTTATCACAGGTATGTGTGTATGGGGGGAGTAGCATACAGAGGGTTAGGCACTAGAATGTCTCATGCATGCCCTACAGGAGGGGTTCCTGTACATATGCTCCAAGAAGAAAGGCCTTAGCCAAGTCTGGGGGCTCTATAATCCCATCACTTGGGAAATGGAACCTGGAGGACTAAGAGTTCAGAGTCATCCTTGGCAACACAGTGAGGCTGAGATTTCACAAGACTCTGTCTCAAAAAAAAAATTATCTTGAGCCAGGCGCAGACCTGTAACCCCATCACTCCTAAGGCTGAGGCAGGAGGATCATGAGTCCATTATCAGCTTGGCTACTTCGTGAGATCCCGTCTCAACAACAACAAACCACGGGAAATAAGATCCTTATGCTTTTAAAGGTTCTTTAATATTTCCTACTGTGTTCTGTTCCATTCTTTCTTGAATGTTGTGATGCTATCCATAAGCAATTAATAAGCTCACCAAATTTATGCACACAGGTAGGCATATACAATATCCAAGGAATGAAATGCTTACAGTCTACAGTGCTCTGAAAATTTTTCCATTAAATTCCATCTTGTTCCATTTCTCAGGAAAAAAAAGTAAGACTCCCAGGGCAAGGTTTTTAACATACATTACATTACATTTGTTTATTCACAGTTTATCATGTGTACACATCCATGTGGGGGAATGTAGGTGCTACGACATAACTGTAGAGGCCAGAAAACCACCTACAGGAGCCTATGTGGGTTCTGGGAAATACCAACTCCAATCATCAGGCTTACCAATAAGTGCCTTTACCTGCAGTCACCTCACCAGCCCCAAATGGTTTTCGACCTATTTGAAAAACATTGCTTTGTGAAAACGCATCTGAAAGCAACAGCCACCTCCCAGATTAACAGGAACACCCTCCCATCCAGAATGTACTGCCAGGGTTTGAAGACAATTATGACATCAATTAGAGACCCCAGCTCCCCATCCCTCATAATAGGTGAGTTGGACACAAGCGCAGAACAGGTGGCCACTCACCTTGAAGTGGAAGGAGCTGGCTGGTGACCCCGTGGAGCCGCACTCCGTTTTTGTTAGGTGGCTGTGATACTTCTGGACCTTGGAGCTGACATTATGGTTGGACATCCGGTCATCAGTGATGGGGCAAATGAAGTAGTCTTCATCCTCGTCGGTGTCTGTGTCAGAATCCCCATCGTGGCCAGCTTGGGAGGACCCGCCATCGTCAACACCTTCCAGGCGGAAGATGAGGTCTTCGTCTGCCATGTTTCAGGGGCGCCCGTGTTACGCGAGGGGTCCGCTGTGCAGCCAGAGTTACTGCGCAGGTGCAGCAAGGACGGTCCTGCAAGGGAAGCAGAGTGGAGGATGGATGCCAGCGCTCAGGCGTGAGGGTTGTCAGGATACCTGCATGACGCTGGCGATGGCCACACTGTCTGAGTTAAAACCCAGAACAATCATTTGGGGAGGCTTTTAGCAACAAGCCGGCAATAAGGTAGGAAGAACATTTCAAATGTCCAAGTCTATTGGCCTAGTCACTTCACTTCGGAGAACTCTGAGTGCTTGGAACCCAGAAGTGCCTCACAAACAACCATAGTTACCCTATCTCTTAAAGACATAAACTATATCAAATCACACCTCTGCTTACCACCCTCCAGTAACTGCCCTAAGACTGCACCAGCTGCCCTGCCCATCATCCTCAGGCCTTAAATGCTCTTCCGGGGACACATGCCCACCCCAAGGCTTTCATATTTGTTCCAGGTGCCTGGAACAGCTTTCTAACTGTGTTATTTCTCATTATTGGGTTGTAACCCAAAGGATGCCACTTTAGAGAAAGCTCCAAATTTCCAAGTCAAAGACCCTGTTTTATTTTCTTCTCAGTAGTTCTGTCCTGTGTACTTTCTTTTCTTACACTTATTTTTCCCCTCTTCTGGAAAATAGATTCTTTTTTACATAATATATCCTTGATGGGAGATGCCATTCTGTAAATCTGTCTTTTATTGGTTGTTGAATAAAGCACTGTTGGCCAATAGGGAAATAAGATAGGTGGGACTAGGAGTCGAGCAGGATTCTGGGAGGGAGAAACACAGGGAGTCATTGTGTAGCTGCCATAGGGGTAAGAAGTCCAGACCCTTTTTCCGGTAAGAGAAATACTTAGATTAACAATTATGAGGTAAATACTTAAGTCAGAGATAGCCTGTAAGAAACCAAGCAAACTGCCAACAGCTTCATAATTAATATAGCCTCCTGTGGGTTTATTTGGGGACTGCAACTGCAACTGTGGAAGAGCTCAGGCGGATGGCGGGGAAGACTTCTCTCTACATATCCTGACTACAGGATTCCCCTCCATCAACTCCTCCCAAGTTCCTCCCCACTTTCCCTCCTACCTGCATTCACTTCCTTTCTGTCTCATTAGGGGATGGGGGAAAGGCTTCCAAGGGATAATAATAAAATATAATAATGATAAAACTATCATATCAAAGTTGGACAAGACCAACAAACAGAAAGAAAAGAGCCCAAGACAAGGCACAAGAATCAGAGACCCAGTCATTCATGCACCCGGCAATCTCATAAAAACACTAATCTGGGAGCCATAATATACACACAGAGGACCTGTGGCAGACCTCTGTAGGCCCTGTGCATGCTGCCTCAGTCTGAGTTCATGTGAGCCTTGCTCATGATGATTTAGAGGGCCTTGTTTTCTTGGTGTCCTTCATCCCTTCTGATCTTTCACAGCTTCTGGTGGAGTTCCATGAGCCCTGAGGGGAGAGATACAATGGAAACATCCCATTTAGGGCTGAGTGTCCCCAGGTCTCTCACTCCCTGCCTAATGTCTGTCTGTGGGTCTCTGTGTTTGTTCCCATCTGCTGCAGGAGGAAGCTTCTCTGATGATGGCTGAGCACTGATCTATGAGCATAGTAGTATAGTATAGTAGAATGTCATTAGGAGTCTTTTTTTTTTTAACAATAGTAGTATTTGGCTTTACCATAGGTCCCTGGGCTATCTAGTCTCAGGTTTTTGGTCAATCAAGTAGTGTTGGGTATGGATTCCACCTCATGGAATGAGCCTTTTATTTATTTTATGTGTGTACAGGTACATGTACAGGTATGTGCTGGTCACAGAGCATGTATAGAGGTCTGAGAACAACTTGTAGAAGTTGACCGACTCCTTTCCTACCATGTGGCCCCCAGGATGGAACAAGTCATCAGGCTTAGCAGCAGGTGACTTTACCTGCTGAGCCATTTTGTAGACTTTTTCCCCCTTCTATTATCCACATGCCCACTGATTGTCTCAGAAAGTGCCTCGCACAGACACAGCAATGTGCTTCCCATCAGTAAACGAACAATTGTCCTCCAAAGCTCCAATATGATCAGTGACGGCAAGAAATTGCTAGTGCCCCCAAATGTCCATCAGTGAAGGCCTGATACATAAATTACAGTGTTTCTTTCTACACAATGAGGTACTGTGTGATGGTTAGAAGCGGGGAGGTCTAGAACCCAGGGACACACCAACATGGTCAGGAGACAGTACAGCAAGACTGTAAGAAGGAAGTCTAACACTCAGGGTCAACCAACTTTCAGCCGGATGCTAAAATGACTGAATTGGGCAAGAAAAATCTTTAACAAATGGGGCTGAGAGACCCTGAACCCCTTCCTTACACGGCATGCAAATGTTACATGGAAATGGACTAATGCACCCTGGTGGTGGTTGCACACGCCTTTTATCCCAGCTCTCAGTAGTCAGAGGTAGCAGGATCTCTGTGAGTTCGAGGCCAACCTGGTCTACAAGGCAATTTCTAGGACAGACAGAGACACACAGAGAAACCCTATCTCGAAAAACCAAAAAAAAAAAAAAGAAAAGGAGTAAAGCATTAAGGGCTAAACTTAGGAAATACAGGACATCTTCATAGTTTTGGATTAAGCAAAGACTTGGCTACGGCAGTGGGCGTGGTACTGGGGCTGGAGCCCAGGGCAGCCTAGCACTTGGGTATTTGGTTTTCTTTGACATAAGCTTTATTATATATAGTGCAGGCTGTCCTCTAACTTTCTGTGTAACTGAGCTGGCCTTGAGCTCACAATATCCTTGCTGCCACCACCTCCCAGGTGCCTAGACTACAGGCAATTTGCCAGTAGTGGTCAAGAGAATGTCTTGCTTCTGCGGAGCACTGGGGTTCAGCTCTCAACACCTACATGGCAAAAGCTTACAACCATTCATAATTCCAGACCCGGCACTGTCTTATTTTTTTTTTCTTCTCTGTGGCTTTGGAGGCTGTCCTGGAACTCACTTTGTAGACCAAACTGGCCTCGAACTCACAGAGATCCGCCTGCCTCTGCCTCTGCCTCCCAAGTGCTGGGATTAAAGGTATGCACCACCAATTCCTGGTTCCAACACTGTCTTCTGACCAGATACACATGGGGTGCACATACACACAGGTAGGCAAAATACCCATACACATAAAATAAAAAAGTAAATAAATCTAAGAGAGAAACAAATGCATACACAGGATAACTGATGTTCTCCTCCTCCAGCCTCTGTTGGCTATTTATGGGGGATACACACAAATAAACAACAAAAGTGGAGACACATCCTACAAAATGAGAAAAAGGGTTTTCAAATCATAACTCGATAAATGACTCAACAAAGAACTTGTACAATCAGTAATAAACAACTGAGCACTGGTGGCAAACGCCTTTAATCCCAGCACTTGGGAAGCAGAGGCAGGCGGATCTCTGTGAGTTCGAGGCCAGCCTGGTATACAAAGCGAGTTCCAGGACAGTCTCCAAAACAATACAGAGAAACTGTCTTGAAAAACAAACAAACAAACAAAAAATCAATCAATAATAAACAAAAATAGCCAAAGGATTTGGACAGTCATCTCTCTGGAGCTGGGTGAGATAGTGCATGCCTCTAGAAATTCACATACTCTAGAAACTGAGGCAATGAGATCACAGGCTTAAGACTAAGCTGGGCTAGAGAATGAGGCACTGTCTCAAAGAAAAGAAAGGAAGGAAGAGAAGGGAAGGGAAGGGAAAGGAAGGGAAGGGAAGGGAAGGAAGGAAGGAAGGAAGGAAGGAAGGAAGGAAGGAAGGAAGGAAGGAAGGAAGGAAGGAAGGAAGGAAAGAAGGGAGGAAGAAAAACAATGACCTCTCTTGGAGAACTAAGGTTCAGTTCCCAGCCAGTACCCATTGCAGGTGGTTCACAACTGTCTATAACTCCAGCTTCAGTGATCTGACACCCTCATCTGGCTCCCACAGGCATATGTATACACGTGTGTGCAGAGAGAGAGGGGGTTAAAAAGAATTTTAAACCCACAAATAGCTGGCATATACATGAAAAGATATCATTAGGGAAATACATTGAAAGTCATACCCTACTGGGATGGATATAATTTAAAAACTGGGCAATAATAAAAATCAGCAAGGATATCCAGGAATTGGAACCCACAGCTGTTAGTGGAACTGTAAAATGGTATACTTGCTATAGAAAACAGTCTGACAATTCCTTATGGGCTAGCAATTCTGCTCCCAGGATGATGCACTCAAAAGAAATGAAAACATGTCCTCACAATCACTTGTAAACAAGCTGGGTGTGGTGGCTCATGCCTATAATCCCAGCACTCTGAAGACTGCAGGCTGAGTCCAGACAGGCCCACCTTGACTACACAGTAAGATTCTCTCTCTCTCTCTCTCTCTCTCTCTCTCTCTCTCTCTCTCTCTCTCTCTCTCACTCACACACACACACACACACACACACACACACACACACACACACACACACACACACACGGGGAGGGGGGGTGTTGTCAAGATGGCTTAGTGGGTAAAGGTGTTTGTTCCACAAGCCTGGCAATGAGAATTCAATTATGAGAATGCACATCACATGGTGGAAAGAGAACAGATCCCTCCAATTGTCCTCTGACCTCCATAAGCACACTATGGCATGTACACACACAATTAAAAATAATTTTTATAGCTTTTACACAAGCATTCATAGTGTAACTGTGTTTGGCCTAGTGTTTAGTTTTTGTCTCAGCCATGTCTTCCGAAGCTTTGGCACTTTCTTGACAGTTATGAAGAGGGAACGTTTACATTCTAACTCGGTACATACTCCTAAAATGGAAATTAAAATCTCAAAACCCAGTACATGGCCTTCCTTGATAAAATGCACTCTTGCAATCTATTCAACTTGAGCCTGTTTTTGTTTCTTTTTATCCTTTTCCTTAGTGTGCTGGCCACACATTGATTTCTCTACTCCCGGTTTGAAACTTCATGTCAGCTGCCAAGTTTGTTTTCTGCCCTCACTAGCCTGGGACAGATGCCAAAGCCACCTGATCCTCTTTGGAGCTTGCAGCTCCTAGCCCAGAGCCTGCCCTGTCCCAGTCAACCTTAGAGACCAGGACAGTGTGGTACCAGCAGACTCCACCAGGTCAACAGCTGCAGGAGCCAGGATGGTGCCGTGCCCGCAGCTTCAGCAGTGGCACCAGGAAGTGTGGCATCTCGCCCGCACTGCTCACCCGTGGCAGCAGCTGAGTGAGGGAGTGGCCTTTTTGTGTTTCCACAGCCAGCTCACAGAAGCCTTGAGAAAGAAGCACAGATAAACACCCTCCTGACCCTGGGGACCAGGGGCTGCTGCTGGCAGCTGCTGTGACGGCCTGTCACTACGCCTTGTACGCAGCAGGCACTTGGTACACATCCAGAACCAAGTGAACCTGGTTTTGTGGGTTTCAATGGGCGATGAATCTGCTCTTAAGGAAGCGAAAGCACCACCTGTCACCTCTCAAAGCTGTTTGCTCCTACAGAGCTAAGCACATAGTCTCTCAGATAAGGGCTGCTGCGTTTTCCAGGCTACAGACAGGCAAGAGCATGAATTGTGAGACTTTTCCTGGGGAGATGTGAACAACTAACTGTCTATTCACTCCTAATAGGGAGGTGATGATAGACAAAAGAAATGATCCTCCCAAATCCAGCTTGGTAAACCAACAGGGGCTACTTACAGGAGCAGGGGTGACCCGGAGGCAACTGCATCATCTAAAGCCCGCCCCAGCACGGTGAGGACTCACGAGAGCTGCAACCTGGTCCATGCCTGTCTGCTGGCTGCAGAGTGTCTGTTTCCCAGCAACTGCTCACTGTCTATATAACCACCTCAGGAACAACCTGATCAGTCTTGTTGCTTTCTGAGCTTCTCCCTCCAGAGGGGAAGTTTCAGTCCTGTGGAAATATTTTACCACCACCCTACACCTAAGTTGAGCTTACTGAAACAGAAGCAGAAAAGCTGTGTACAACTTTAGGGAAGGGTCGGTTTGTTGCTTGTTATGCCTAGTCCGAGAGACCCCCAAAAAGACCACCAAGGAGCTGACTCATGGAATGCAAAAGCACAAGGTTTTTTGTTTTTTGTTTTTGTTTTTACTGAATACAAGCCTCAGCAGGGACTTTGTCCAGCAAGCTGGCGCAACAGCTGCAGAAGGCCCCAAGCCTCAATTGCAGGAGATGTTGACACAGTTTGGGGTGGACTCCTTTTCCTGAAAACTGGGGCTTTTGACACAGGCCATTTATACAGGTCAAGGGCGTCAGGTTCTTCTAACCATTCTTGGTACTAAGGAGGCAACAGTCTTGGCCTCTCATTCTCCCCTTTCTCTGTGCACCATAGGTGACCCAATTCTGGGTCTCTAGTGGACAATTCAAAAAATTCTGGAGAAGTTTGGTATAGGGGTCAGTAGGTTTGCGATCTTTGAACCATTAGTTGGATTATGCCCAGGTGG